GGTCCCGGAGTGGGGGCTCGTTGCCGCAGTGGCGGAGGGGAAGCTGAAGCTGAACTGGAGTGTGTGTGAGTGTGTGTGAGAGAGAAGTCAGTTGGAGCCAACCTCTCTCTCTTTCTCCTCGATACGAGCCACCTACGCCACTAGTTTGCGACCGATCTTGTCTGCTCGGTTTGATGGATGTCTCGCCCCCTCGAAACTCGATCGGGCTGCTGGCGGCGGGCTCAGCCAGAGGGACAGGGAGTGGACAGGGGCGAGCCAAGTGGCGGACATCTCGAGGACTCTGCCCGTCTAGGAGGCCCAAAACGGTTATTATACACGCCTATGCCACGTCGAAAAGAGTGTTGGATAAAAAAAGTCTCCTGTTCCAGAAAAGGAACTTTGCTACATTAGCAAAATATTTGCTTCAGCAGACTGGCTCCAGCCAGATAAAAAAATTTTTGTTGTGTCACCCAAGCAGCAAACTGTGTTTAGCAGCAAACATTTGGAGGGCCTTGAAACAAAAACTTTGTAGCATTTTGTCAAAACAGCGACCAGAAAGAAAAACCACACATTTTTTTTCTATGTCTTAGCAAACGTTGTTTTGTGCTTGCTCGGCCATAAAGGACGCCAACACTACGATGTGTGCGTACACCCTGTTCTCTAGATGCCTCATCGTACGTGCGGCTCGTTGTGTTGTCGAAGCGATTGAAATGTATGCCCGCTGGCGGTGGTTTGGGGGTCGGGCACACACTGCCGTGATGTATTCGCCAGAGCAAACAATTCGTTACCCGGGCTGAGTGGAGCACGGCGGGTGTGTTGGTCATGTCAGAACAAGATACGTCCTCAGGTCACTCCCCTCCAGTGCGGGGCCTCCCGGGCTCCGCAACGGGTAAACGCGACGGGAGGCGGCCGCCCGCGCGTTTCTCTTCTCTATCTACCCTCGTTCTACACTGTCAGAAAAGCCCCTCGCGTCAGCATCAAATAAATTCAACTCTCGCCTACAGCTCCCCCACTCTGTCGGACGCCGCGCCGAAACAGACGGGGCCTTCCCCCGCCGCCGCCGACGCCGCGCCGCTGGTCCATGTCGTCTGTCACCCAAGTTCACGGCCGCAGCTGCCAGACGCACAGTGCCCGGGCCTCATGGCCGGGCCCATGGCGGGCCCATGGCACTGTACAACAAGAGGTCATTAAGATTTGGCGGGGTGTGAGTGAAAGGAGGAGGGGGAGCCCTACTCCTCGGCAGGCTCGTTATAGCGATACGTCTCTGGAAATGTTCTCAACTCGACACAAAGTTGTTTACTTTGAAGCCCGCGCCGGGCGGCCCCGCCCGCGCCCACGCGCACGCGAACGGGTTATTAACGAGGATATCCGCGCCCCCGGGTGGGATAAGACCGAGCGGAAGACAAGACAAGTTTCGCCTGTCTTCAGTCGACGCTGTTGTGCCGAACACACTGGTTGAAGCAGTGCAACGTTGCTTCGTCTATACGCCACACCACTGTGTTCACTACTTTCTCTAATGTGTTCATACACGCTGAACACCGTAGTCGCACTGCTTGCCAGTGTTTTGCTATCCCCGTTTGAGTGCAAACAATTTATTCGTTTTGGACAGACAATTTTTTTGGCCTAATTTCTTGCTAACATTCCGTCTTCTGTCAAACAATGTCATAATTTAGCCTTGTCGTCTTGTCGTGCTGCGAAAAGATTGTCCTATTTTAAATGATCTAATTTTGGCAAGGAAAGACATTGAACATTGCCGCCCCCCCCCCTCCTCGCGAAACCCGAAAAATAAATAAAAATAAATAAACAACCTGCGTGGCAAGCAAGGCAATCCCGACGTTAAGTGTGTACCAACGTCTTTTCTCTTCGCTACTCTCTTCTGCTGACTACTTTCTCGGCTGTGTTCACTACTTTGTGGTTGCTGCCGGCAGCGCGAAACAAGCAGCGGGGCTGCAATTAAAAGGTGAACGAGTGGAGTGGGGGCGCCACCAGGCCCCCGCCGCCAGGCCCCCGCCGCCAGGCCCCCGCCACCACGGGGGTGGAAGTGACCCAAAGTGGGGCCCCTCACGCGATCCGCGCCGTTGTCCGGGGGGCTCCGACCGCGGCGCGGCGGAGCGCACTGTGTGGTGCAGGGGTAGGGGGAGGGGGGTGGGGGAGCTCACCCCACGCAGTAAAGTTTTGAAATTAAAGGGGCGGCCGAAGCTGGGGCCATAATATCGCAAAAGCAGTGTGTTTTGGGTCCCCGTGGGCCGCGCCGTGGGCCGGGATGAGGGCGCGCAGAGCGAAAGGGCAGTGCCCCTGTGTCGCGGCCCCGCCTCGCCCCGCCCCGCCCAGGCAGACCAGCCGGCTGCCTCGCCGCGGGGCGCAGCTCACGGGCCGACCCGGCTGCCGCAATAAGTGAGGTTAGGGTCGGCTGAAAACTTTCTGCGTATTGTGTGTGTCCGAGGCAGAGGAGAATGAACTATGACCGTGCGGTGATGGAGTTTTGCAGGGCACAGACGGTATAATCAGGACTGGTAGTAGAAGTACGTTTATTATTTAGTCCCCTAGACTGTCTCTTCGAGAAGGAAAAGACGTGCCCGTCCCGCATCTCCTCCCATCTTGATCGGCCGGCGAGGAGGACGAGGTGTGCCTTTTTTAGCAGATGATACCTTAAAAACATTTTGACTGAGCATAAAGAATAGATAAGTAACTTTAAGGAGTCAGCTTGCTTTTACTCTCGATAAGGACAGAGAACCAAGCGGAGACCAGAAAACAATTTCTGTGGCGCTGGGGGAATGGTGTCCGAGCGAATAGCTGGCTGTTGTTCACGTCATGCCCATTCCCTTATCCTATCTTACACTAACAATACTGCGCCAGGCCGCCAGGCAGGGCAGGGCAGGCCCGTGCATACCAATACTAGGCCACTGACGCCAGCCGCTCTGCCCGCGCCGTATATCCTCCTCAACACCGCCAGTACGCCGAATCACAAAATTGCAAGTAGCAAGCAGCCACAAACAGATGACAGCTAGAGGAGAAAATTAGAAAACAGGCTCTTCTTAAAATTGTTATCATCTGCTTAAAGTTTGATTCTGGATTGAGATTTTTCTCAAATTTTTCTCGGCTGTCTGCCTGGTTGTTGCACTAGAATGAGTTTCAGCAATTTTACCAATATCAGGACCCGCAACAGGGTTGAAAAGTGGTGAAAAATGTGAAAGGAAAGGTCAGAATTATAGCTTTTGCCATTATACATTTTAAGAGGTCACTTACTTAGTGTCCCATCTGGTCCGTTGCAAGCGCAGCGTGGAACGTACTTTTGCTTCGAAAACGTACCCAATAATTCAAGGGGTCGACCGGGAAATCCGACCACCAGCAGAGATAAGCAGTGAGTGAGTCCCCGACTGAGCTATGCAGCAAGCTTCCCTCATAAGTCCTTCCCGGAAATACGACCTTCCAGATGGAGATGATGACGTCCCCGTTGTGCTGGTCTCGGCACGGTATGGCACGCTCGTCCAAGTCCTCTGCCGAGCCAGGAGCGAGTGTGGTGCATACAGGACGGGACGCAGAGGGGGTGGCTGGGCTGCGTTAGGGGAGAAAGTTTGTGAAGCATTGCGGCACAAGGCCCCAGCAAAGCACCCTGTTGTGGCGCACGGTGCCGCACAGAGTGGCCTCACCGACGAGCCACTCCGCTAGCTATGCTCTCCCCGCCCCCCTCCAAGCTCTCACGCCGGAGGTGTAAGGTGGTGCGGAGTCAGCGCGTGCAGCCGCGACCCTCCACCGACCTGGACCCTCCTTCTTGGAAGCAGGCCGGTAAGGTAATGGAGGCACGCAGGCGTGAAGTGAATCCACGGGACTCCCCCGCGCTTATAAATTATTATTGCAGCGCTGGCGACGCGGAAAAGCTTGGGGGAACATTTTACCTCCTGTTTTGTTTTTTATTAAAAAAAAAAAAACAAAAATAAAAAATGGCTGGTGCGCGGGTACGACAGTGTTGGTGCTCTCGCGAGCTTTATAGGGGGCCCTTATTTCCTTGCGGTGGAGATACGTATGGTAATGTCGCTAGCGGTCGCAGGGAGCAGTTTGTGTTTGCCTCGCGCTGCTCGACTAGGCCAAGGTGAATCCTGCGTCCTTTAGGAGAAGTTGTTGTTCTTAAACATCGGTTTGTTTCACATTATACAAAAGTAAAATTGACTTTGGTGGACCTTTTTTGTGACGGGAAGCGCGCAATTTCCTACCAGGTTTCGAACGGGGCGGACCAGTGTCGTAAGCAAGCTGTCCGAGCCAAAGCGATCGCTGTCGCCACCCATGCACGGCTAATGGCGTCTGCTTGTCCTCTCGCACTCGTCGCGTTTATCTCTTTTTTCCCCTCATCCGGGGAACAAAAGTTGGTTCCCCAACAACAGCTCCTCGCGCTCCAGAGACAGACAAATAAATGGAGGGAAAGCGGGAGGGAGCTTCTTAGAAACGTAATTATTGTCGCGCTACGTTCTGATTCTGGACACGGCTATATCGTGTTTTATTTGTCTGTTATCTGCATATTTTATCAGAGGATTCGCAAGTCGAACACTTCGCTTTGTATACAAACGTTGGCCGTATGGGGTAAAATATGGGATGATACGGTTGTCTTTTCTTTCTTTTGGGCTAGTCTGATTTTAAAGGACCAGTTTTGTTTTGTTCACAGTTTGGTTTCATGACGTTCACTGACTGAGTACGAAGTACGCCCGCGCGGGTGAAGCCGCTGCTGTCGTTAATATCGGATGTTTCTAAAAATGTGGTGGCCGCGCAACGCTCTCTCGGTCTGATATTATGCCCCCCGGGAGTCTATCCATCAATCCGCAGCGCACGCCACGCAGACCAGAAACACCTCACAGTCCTCATCTGCTTATCCATCAGACCAACAGTCCCGTCAAACGGCACCTTATCCTGCATTGTTTCCTTCTCTTATTTTTAAGTTTTGAAATTTAATCGGATGTTGTGATATTTCCGTTAATACATCGTACGTCTTCATTACCGGCTGCTTATCGTGTTTCTTTCCTTGTTCACAGGGAGCCTCTCGTGACCCTGAGCGCGTGCGCGGGTGCTGCCGCTGCCGCTGCTGCTGGAGATGAGAGGTAGGTGGAGTGCGAGAAACCATACCTACGCTGCACGCTCGTATCCAGAGAGAGCACTTAATTTAAACAGAAGAAAAAAGATCGGAATTATCAAAATTGACTATTTTTCTCTGAAATAATATCTTCTCGTTATAGTCACAACTCACATGAACCTGGAAAAAAAAAAATCGGTACCTGAAGTCAGGTATAAGCGGTTTGAGCCTTGGTGGACCCTACCTTTTGAATAGTGAGGTACGGTATAATTTTTTTTAAAGTAGTTAGACCCCAAGAAGATGACGAGGGTTTACATTTGTTCCAATTAGTCGGGGTGGCGTGACCTTTCCGTCTGCTTGCTGCGTCACCTCCCGGCGTCACCTCCGCGCCCTGCTGCTCCTCGCGGCCGGCCCCCCGCGGCTGCCCGCTGATTATGTAAGGGCGCGGAAAGGTGGTGCGCTATTCTCTACGCAATCCGCTTTGGGCGCCGCGCGCGCGGCCCTTTCCGCCCATTTCGACCGTCACTCTGTTTGGCCCCGGGTATAATCCCCGCGCGCGCGAGTATGTTTGAGCAGAGCAAACACGCATTTCAAGGGAGTGGGGCGGCGGAGGCGCGTGCGAGAGAGAGACAAAAGGAAGAGAGATAGGGGAAGAAGTGGGGAGCAGTGTGGTGGTGGTGTTTAAGGGAGTGAAGAGGGTGGGGCTTGGGG